TTTAAACTAGTTTTCACATTGTGTCATTATATTAGGTTATTATAATTCTCCTGATATAAATCAAAGAATGTCTTCACGGGGTGTATTCTTCCTGGGAGAGATTTTAATGCCAGAGTGGATCAGCCATGATTTAATTAGCAGTCCTTCGTATTCATATAAGCTGTACTGTTCTTTACCTATAAACAAGTGACACTCAAAAGCTCAGGGAATTGCTTCTACTATTAAAAACAAGTAGTTTTGTGAGCTAATGAAACTTTCTGATGGACCATATTTTACCTTTTCTTCCTTGTCTCTTACAACATAACTTCAACTCTGCCCTCTATCCCTTGTATAGCCCCTGAACTTTAGCAGCAGACTATGATAGCATGATAGTACGGCTAGCTGGGAGCTCTTAATGTGCTCATTGCCCACAACTACTGCCAAATAGAATATTTATCAGCTGTGTACTTTCTGATTGTTTTCCTCATTAGTTTTAACCTGTGTCCTCCATCTTATTGGTGAAATTCATAAAATCCACAAGAATTTAATTTTCTTTTAAATTACAAAGCTTCTGTCAAATTTGTTTGAAAGTAATCAGTAGACTCAAAGCTTATTAGGGTAAAAGGCAGGAATAGACAGGTAAATTCAATGGAATTCCTTTTCTTTGCATAGGATAATAGTCTACAAAAGGAACAAAAAACTACTAGAACACTTCTGATCTCATCCACTTATAAAATAACAAAATTAAAAAGTAGTTTCTAGACATTAGGAACATAGCTGTGGTACTGGAATCTTTTTTTTTTTTTGGGGGGGGGGGTCATTTCTGATCTTTTAATAACATTTGAGCCCTTAAAACATTCCTTCTTAAATTAAAATTTCAATTTAGGTAGTTTAAAATGGCAGGTGTAAGGGGCCACAGTCTTGAGACAATGAAAACAAAATAAAATAAAACCAACAAAGAAAAAACAGCCAAACAAACAAAACACTCTTGTGGTTCAGTTTTCAGGTCAACATTATGTAAGCAAACTAACTAAACAAACAAGCCTATATATATATCCATAACTACAAAAGATTTTCATAACCCAGAACCTGAAAACAAGGTAACCACAGCCTGACTCTTGAATTAGAAAGCAAAGCTAAATTGTTGCAGATATAATTCCCGTCTGAAAGAGTTTTGTTCTCCCCTTTACAGCGTGAACTAAGTGGTACTTCATTGATCTGGTCTTTTCTCTAAGTCCTCTAAGTCATAAGTGTCCCAGATAATCTCAAAGTTAAATTTCTCAGTTTATATTTCTATATTTTGCTGCAATTTAATTGTGAAACACTTTCTTGATTTGGTAGGAACAAGGATATTTACCAAGATATTTACAACTCTATTAGTCTTTTATTGCTGTGTTGCATTCATTAGTAATACATAGATTCTTGGACCTCTAACTAAGAAATCTAAGAGAAGCAACTCAAGATATATCCTAAATATATTAATCAAAATTATTATTTATTTTTTTTTGCTCTCTCTTTTCTCTCTTTTCCTTGAGGTTTCACAATTATGTTACTTCAAACAATGAGGAGCTGATTTTATTATTATTATTATTTTTAATGATGATTTTTTTTTCAAAAAAAAAAAAAAAGGCAGAGAGGCTCTAATCTTAAAACAAGAATGTTGTGGAAATATTGAACAAACTAGAAGTTTTCTTATAGATTTTTCATGTTTTAGTAGTCCAAAGATTCTCCCTGTGGAGATGTTTTTATTGCACACTAAGTACTATGAAATAGAAACAATGATTATATTCACTCTGAAGAGGTTTCTCTTGTAACTAAATTTTATTTTAAAATAAAAAACTCTCTAAATTTTTGTGGGTTCTGTGTCTATGAATCTCTTTTTGATTATGTTCGTGACCAAGGCAGATTGGTGCTATCTGATCAAACCTTTGTACTGGAGTGTCAAACTAAATATAAATAACAGTGACATATTCACAAGTATAGAGTCGCATGTGTACCTCTTTACCTCTTTTCTCTTTTTTTTTTTCTTTTTCTTTTTTTTTTTTTTTCCCTGTATACTTTCTAATTACAGAAAAGTATAATTTCCAGCATTAACATCAAATATCCTCAAGCAATATAAATCTTAATTACTGTATGCTGGAAGTAGTACTAACAAACACATAAGGTACTTTGTATGGAAGCAAGTGTGTCCCTGTGTACACGTAAAGAATCTCAGCAATTTCTTTTCTGCAGTTAACAAGACCTAAATCTGTTTAATGGTGAGTAATCTCTAAGAAGCAATATAACGTGGGTAATTATTCAGAACTTCAAACTCTCTTTCTACTTTTATTTTAACAGCATTTTCCTGGAAAACATCCACACTAGGTCTGACACCTAGCGAACTGATGAACTATGAGTGACATTCAGTAGTTAAGACCATTCATAAAACAACTTAGACTGAAGTTGTGAATCTGGATGATGACATATACTGGGAATTCAGGCACAGAGATGCTTCAAAACTGTTCAGCAGAAATCCATCACCAACATATTTCTGCAGGAAATGTTGAAGGGAAAGATCATTTCAAAAGTGTTAATCAGAATTTGTGTTTCTGCAGGCAGGGAAAGCACATAAAATGGCATTGGAATTGAGAAAATTGCAGCTCCTCATGTAAGCAAGCCACAAAACTTGCTGAAATATAGTCTTTGCTAGAACTACATTGAGCCCATCACTCAGAACTAACTCATAAGATAAGATTTTCAAATTCCCTTCTAAGTGTTTTGTTTTTCTTATGGTTGAGAGGATGTGAGGACAAGAGTTATGTCTTTCAGGATTTTCAGGAAGCATAAGAAAAAAAAAAAAAAAAAAAACAACATTCATTTTTAGGAGCTAGAATCCAGGAGCAGATTGCCTTCCTTGGGAATTCACTGCACAGACAGCATGGGCTCTGCTGGCTTGGCTGATGCAGGATCGCTGCTCTTTGAGAGACACTTATCTGCAGAAAATGTGATGACAAGGACTGAAGAATGTTCTACAGTAGATAGCTCAAAGATGATGCTGTGATGCCAAGACAATTACCTCAGTGGAGGAATATTTTAGATAGTCCTCAGGTAAAAGCAACCTTTTCACTACTCTATTGCTACTACTGCATGTATCTGGTGTTGGTGCTCCTAATAGCCAGTCTTTTTCTATGAGATGGGCAGAGAAAATGCTCAGAAACCCCAACGTCTAAAACAGTTGTTAGTTTTGCAAAATGAAAGAAATGCTGTCCTCAGCAAAACCAATAGTCTTGCTTGTACAGTTCCTGAGTTTTATAAGACCCAGGAAGTATAAGATCTGCTTTGTTCAAAGGAAACCTGTGTGAGTAACTGCAGAAGTTAAAACAGCCAAACCATATATGTACATGTTTCTTATTTTTATTTTATTTTATTTTATTTTATTTTATTTTATTTTATTTTAATGGTTAGTTGCAAGGACTTAACAAACCCTGGTTACCATAGATAATCTCTATATTGTTCAATGGACATAGATTGATTGTTGTAAAATATATATATCTATATATAACTCTTTTTCAAAACCTTGAGGAGAACAAAAGTTCCTCTACAGCAAATATTTATAGTCATTTTAAACCATTTTAGCTTCTTTTTTTTTTTTTTTATTTTTTTTTTATTTTTTTTGGCAGCAAGCAGAACATGTCTTTTTGCTCTACAGCTTCGCAGCACCTCACTTAAAATAACAAATTGGCCCCTTCTGCTCTGGGATTGCCTAGCTAGATACAGGATAAATAGCTCCTTAAACCCTCAGGACATTTCTCTTGTCTCTTTGGCCTAATCCATTACCAATCCTGTCATTATCATTCACTGAAGAAAATGTCACAGCTAATGTACTGTAAGGCTACTATTTTAATTCAAAATCACTATACGGATACTTCTTTCTTACTACAGGCTATGTATCTATACATATAAAATCTTTATTTACATTTCTAAAAAAAAATAAAAATAGTTCATTGAAGCTACTTGGTTACTTGCATTATAATATCTGTATGGGACAAAGTACTCAGCAATACGTTAAATTCCTCCCAATTCCCTCCAGCACTGTAATGTGTCCGCTTGGTATGGACAAACACAGTGAGGCTGCAGGAAGGACAAATGATTTAGCAGAGAATAAATTTTAGTCTCAGGGCATCTAGACTTTGTTCATCTAACGCAAACTGGATGTTATGATACTGTAGAGTATGTAAATATCATCTGATTGTTTTAGTGAGTCAGCACTACTAAGTAGGCAGTCAACATCTGAGGTAGCTGATATTTCAGGATATTTATGGCATCTTATAAAAATTAATGGGAAAAAAAAAAAAAACCATAACACTTTATTTAGTCTTTGACCATTGCTATTTAAAATCTGCACCTTAAGAAGATACATTTAGTTTTCTATATTCATAATATAAAATAAATGGAAAAATTTAGGGACACATTTTTCTTTGTGTGTGTGTGCTTGGCCCCCACTAGTCTAAAGGGAGTATCCAGCTTACCATTTCTCAGGGTCAAATGCTAAGACATGAAGGTTTCCATTTTGCGTGCAAGTCTAATACACTGGTAATTAGTCATTTTAGGTCCACCTGTCTTGTCCACTAACGATAATAGTCTGTCACTATCCCAGCTTTAGAAACTTTCCTACTTAGTACTACTTGCAGTGGTCTAATCCTTAATATCCTGTAATTTAATACCTGCCGTGTCATCAGATTTAATAGCCACTGTAGCACCTACATTCACTTCCGTTGGCTGTGTCCTACTTTAGTCTGAACCTTTCAAGGCCTGGCTGCTCCAGCCCCTTACAAACAAGAACCTTTCCTTTGCTTTGCTGTAAACAGGCCTGAGGTAACTCAATAACAGAGTGAAACAGTCCAGTGCACCAGGCTGGGCAGCTGGGTTGAATCTAAGCTAGTGAAATAGCATTTCCCTCTATACCATTTTCACCTGAAGATAATAATAAATTGGCTAAGGATTGCTCACCTTGAGAAACAGCCCAAGCTTTTGCTTTGTGAAGAAGCACAAAACTAAGCAAAACTGCAGTTCAGTTTCATTACTAACACTTTCTTCAGCTCTAATATTAAAACATTTTCTTTCTACTTTTATCTTTCAGTTGTCACCTTCTCTAGCAAAGCACCATTTTCTTTCATCAGGGTTTTAGAAATAGCGCCAATTTGTTTCCACCTCCTCTCTGTACAGCTGTGATCTTTAATCCCTGGTAGCAATCTCTTTTTCTGTGGTTCCTGCCTCACTCTGTAACCCCTGCAACCTTGGAGCAAATGAGTCTATTTTTGTCTCTGGAGATTTGATGGCAGATAACACAGTTATTAGGGACATCTTTTTCTTGCTCTAATAATGATGATCTGCCTTCAGTAATTTTTCCATGCCCAAATTGCCAGCAAGGCTGGAGGAACACTCTGACATGTTTTTCCTGGGTGTGCAGATTACTATTTTTCCCCTTCCCTTTCATTTTTCTTTCTTTTTTTTTTTGTTTTGTTTTGTTTTGTTTTCCGTTTTCTTCTGAGTTATTTACTCTTTTTTCAAATTTTGTTTCATTCAATCCCCTGTTTGGCTTATCCATTTATATGTTTCTTATAGCTGTCAACATTTACACTAGGCTCCTCAAATTGATAACCATTGATACAGCTACAATTTCATTTTGGTGTAATGCCTTAAGTTCTCTCATATTCCCACAGTGTGGATCCTGGGCCAGTGTTCAAGCAAAGAGGTCACCCCTGTACCGTATGTGACCGTGCAGCTTCCCTGGATTGTGTTACGTGAAGAAAGGTGAGACTTTCTTCACCTGTTGCTGGGCACAACTTACCATCTTTTTTGTCTCTGCTGTATCAAGACAATGAAGGATCACTACTTAGCAGAGCTGAAGAAAGTTATCTTATGTAACCATAACCCCCCAAATTTATAATAATAGAGAGCAAATGTCACATTTGCAAAATCCCACAGGCGGTTTATTCAGTCAGAAGAACATGGTGTATCTGATGGAATACTTGGGATATACATGATCAATGTGATCCAATGCAGTTTAATTTAATACTTTAACTACAGCACAATGAATTATCTTCAGCTTCTGAGATACACCAGTTATAGTCTTGGTTTGAAATCCCTTGCCTACTGATGACAGTATGTTTGTTGTGAAAAGCTAAAAGCAAGCAAGCAAACAAACAAACAAACAAAACTTCTATCTTTCCAATTAGGTTGGCTGGTGAGATATTTTCTAAAAAGCATGTTTGATTCTGATTGTTTTTTTCAAGTTTTTTCCCCATATATTTTCACAAATTCTTGTGAAAGTGTAGATCTTGTGATCTACAGGCTGCAAAAATTAAGAGCTTTTGGAGAATGGTTCTTTTTTTAAAAAAATGTTGCATCAGCTTTTTGTCCAAACATTGTTAATTAAAAGTTTCATTTGTGGTTTAAATACATTATCTTGTTTAGGAACGTATCTTCTAACACCTTTTATTGCTAATCCTGAAAATCCTTTTGTCTTTAGCATCAATGGATCAAGAACTTAGAGCTTTAACTTTAGCCAGTTTGCTCTCATAGAATTATAGAATCAGAGAATATCCTGAGCTGGAAGAGACTCACAAAAATTATTGAGTTCAACTCCTGGCTCCACACGGAACTACCTAAAAAATTAGATTTTATATCTGAGAGTGCTGTCCAAATTCTTCTTGAACTCCAGCCGGCTGGGTCCTGTGACGACTTCCCGGGGAAGCCTCTTCCAGTGCCCAACCACCCTTCCAGTGAATAGCTTTTTCTTAATATCCAACATAGGAGGATTTTCCAAACTCTCTGGTTCTAAAGGACTCTGGTCTCTGACAAGCTTTCCTGGAGAGCACCAGTACGGCCACGAAGAAGTGGGGATAGCACTGTTTGGTAGTGTCCTGTGGGCCCCTGTATTAGAAACACTGCAAGAACTAACTCATAGTGAGTTAGAAAAGGGACGTTGCCAGATGTACTATTCTGGAAAACTAAATTGAGTTTTTATCTTCCTAAAACTTTTGGGAATTAGATATAACAAAGAATACATAGCAACCCCGTATTTTCTTCCTACTAATACATCCTCTTTCTCCGATGTCTCTTGTTATTCCTCATAGTAAATAGTTCATTCTATTTATATCTGCATTAAACCAAAGGCAATTCTGATGCTTCCTCTGGAAAACTATTCTGTAAATCCTCATTGCTAGGTGTTTTTGAAATTACCCTGACCTTTATGTCAAATTCAACTCATGATACAATTTCATCTCTCAGCCTTTTCCAGAAATACATATGATGTAACAAAGTCAGGCCTCCTTCTGGAGGAGCCTGGGCAAGACTTCAGGATGTCTTTAGCAACTTTGATTGCTTTCCATGTTCCAGTAGGAAGCATCTTATAGAGAAGAATACATAAACAAATCAGTTCAGAATATGACCATAATACTCTTAGTAAAGCAGGGTATAGTCAAGAAAAATGTGGCCTGCTTAAGGGTATTTGAAGAAGTTGAACTAAGTGTTTGGTCACAGGTGACTGAGTCTATTATTTTGCTGCTCATTCAGTTTTATGACTGTTGCTCTCAAAGTTGTCAGAATAAAGGAAACTGGGTGATAAATCTTTTTCTTTTTATTATGTCTGTGGGTAAAAATAACTGAAAGCACTGAGGATGGTGTGAAAGGGAGACTTTGAATTAGTCAAAAAATTAGTCATAAGAATAAATAAGACAGTATAACAGCCCAGAGAAGTATAGTCTAGAGAAAAGACTCAGCCAATTCACCAAGAGTAACAAATGAGAGTTTCTGTGTGGGGTGAGTATTTCAGCTCTGGAGATATAACTTGGTGTCTCATAGACTTCCCTTCCTTCTTTCTCAGAGAGTGCCAGAAGACCTTTTTGCTATATCCTTAATACATTCACATAGATGTCACTAAAAATAACTTCAGTCCACAATGATATACCTTTTAATTGCAAACAGTTTTTGTCAGAAGTCAAACTCTGGATTTTAGCTACTTTTTTTTTTTATTATTATTATTATTATTATTTCTCTAGCTCAGAGAAAACTGAATCAATTTATTTTTTTTTTTTCTCTTTTGCTTAGGTCCAATAACTCTTTCAACAACAATTCTTCACTCAACGTTTGGTGGGGAGTGGAATTTTAATTTCCTAATCAGCTGATGTGAGCCATGCTGTTCAGACTTCATTTTAGCTGTCTTAGGAATTTAGAAGGTTAAAACCATTTCTGTCTCAGTGGGATACACAGCTCCTGATTCACTTTTTATAACATCACAGTTGGATTATTGCCACTTTGTGTTTGCAGCCTTCCTTGACCATTCACTGTATAAGTCCCCAGTTTGCACAAAATTCAGCATCTAGAATGGTCACTTACAAACATTAGCTTATCGCATTGCAACTGATAACACTGCACTGGCTTCCTGTTAAATGCACAGTTGTTATCACAATACTTACACATTATTCATGTCTTGTAACTGAGACTTGCAGTTGCTTTTTGTTAAAAATTGATCTTTTATTTATTTATTTATTGCTGTCCCTTTTTTTGTAAGGTGCTTCCCATCAGAGCTATGAGATTTTTTTTACTTATTTATTATTATTATTCTGTCTTGACTTCTCTAGCAGAAGTTTGGTTTAATTGTAATGTAGTTTAAGTGTATAATGCCATGTGTTGCTTCTGCATGAAGTGTGCTATATAAATGCAAATGAGCTAATTAATTCATAACAACAAGTATTATAACAACACATTGATTGTCATGCTCTGCAGTTTCCAGTTGAACACTGTATATGTTTTGTTGGTAGAGGAATTGCAGCAGGAGGGTTAATAATTTTAAATCTAAGTACCCTTGGCTGTTTATATAGATCTGGATCTGTGATTTTCCCTTTGAATCCTATACAGAATTTATTAAGGGAATTTATAAAGGTTCTGCTCTCAGTCCTAGTTGATGACTTTCTTCTGTGTGAATGTGGGAGAAATCACTTTTTTTTTTTCTTTTTTTTTATGCTTTCAGACATCACCTGCTTAAGAAATAGGGACAATGATTCCTTTTCCCCTTTGAAAAGTATACGAAGAGATATGATTAAAATGAGTGATGCAGCTGGAAAGTAGTGAACATGTTATAAATTCTCAATAAATCATGCTGAGTTCAGCTTTAGCCTCATTTGCATCAGAATGTTAAAAAACCTGCTAAAATTACATTATTACTCCTCTGTTTCTCAAATGTTTCTAAAGCTAAGATGCTCTGAATTCTCAACAACCTGTAAACCAGTATTTGACACATATAAAATACTTTCGCTTCCAAAGCAGGATTCATGTTAATAGCATAGAGTTCCAACCTTTGTCTATGCTCACAAAAACAAAATTTTAATGTAAAAATATTTAATTTTAATTTAATTAATTTAATGGCAAAAGACCTCAGCTGAACCTGAATGCATGAAATTCCTTTCATGTTTCCAGTGAAAATGAAATCTACAGGAATGCTCCTGTGTGTGCATGAAGGGTAGTTTGGCTGCTCAGAGGAGGACCTGACAGCAAGAGTTTTGTCACTTTTGGAAGCATCCTTAAAATAGAATTTCACAAATAGAAAATATAATCTGTGCAACTTTTCAGTGGATAGTTGGATAGTTATTGAAAAGGAAATATAAAGCAATCAGAGACTTCATAAAACTTGAAGGTATATGGGCTTTAGAAAGTTTGCAAGGAAAAATGTGAGCAAGTAATTTACATAAATAAAACCACTAAAACATACAAATACTGTTCTGTTAGAAAGTGTGAGCAGGAGTATTACCACCAATTTGAATACTTTTCATCAGATTCCCTGGCACCTGTATTGACATTTAAGCATTTTGGCTAAAGTAGGGGCAACGGGAGCTTCGTGTACTACTTTCTCACCATATGTCCTCCCCATTGCACATCTCCAAGTAAGCACACAGAGACTGAGTTCAGAACTCCGTTCTCTGAAACAGTGGCTGTAAGCACACTGCAGAAATATCTGTCCTTTTTTTTTTTTTTTTTTGCAGCTGAATGCTTGCAACAGCATGATACGTGTTAGTGCAGCTGCTGAGTCAGACTTGCCATGTACTGGCTCCTCACAAACAGCAACCACAGTTCTGATCCAGGTGTACCTGGATCTGAAAGGAGTAAAAATAGTGCTTTCTGTTGAAGCATTCTGTTATTTTTTTCCTCTCTTTCACCAATATAAAACATCTTAAACTTGTCTTTCTTCCCTGCAATTCCTTCCAAATAGCTCCAAAAGGGTCACACAGCCCCCAAAGTGATTTACAATCTAACAGTCTTCAGGAACGCATCAGAACAAATCTCTGTACTATCTTCACACCAGCAGTTTTTCTCAACATAATCAAAAAGTTATTAATAACCATTCTCCAATGTAGCATCAAAATAAGCGGATACTTTATATGATTATGGTTCCAAGGTGTAACTGCTGATTAAATACTTCTTTACAAACACATATCCACTGTATTTTTTATATGCCAATACCCTGGCATATATACACATTTAAATGTATATGCATGAATATTATATAAAGAACATATAGAACTATGCATATTTTTCTGTGTCTCAATGTTTACATACACATATACAAACTGAAAGCAAATGTGTCTTGTTCAGACATAGACATTTAATAAAGGAAGGAAGAAGAAGAAAAAGAAATCTAAAATTGCCCAGTTATGGAGAAAATTACCAAGATTGAAAAAGACTTTCAGATATATAATGTTGAATGTAGCTGTGCAATTATGTAAGCTATCATATTTCTTTCTACTGTTTTGTGGCATGGTTAAATTAAATATATGAACAGTGAAAAAAAAAAAAAAAAAGATTTATGTTGTGTGAAGACAGTTAAACACTTCAGATTGCTAAAAATGTTACCTTAATTATCTGCATATTATGCTCAGAAGAAAATCATTAGCTTTCTCTTTATGAGAACTGTCAATGCCAAAAATATTTCATCCAAAAAAAAAAAAGTGGATTTAAGAAAAAATATTTAAAACAACTAGAACTCATACTTAAGTCATTATTTTTTTTTTCCTTTTTTTTTTTTTTTTGGTTGGTTGCTTGGTTGGTTGTGTTTTTTGTTTGTTTGTTTGTTTTGGACTTCTTGATTTCAAGCACCTTGAAATCTTGAAATTAATTTAGACAAACAGAGATAGGAAAATCTTCAAAACACATATAAACATCTATGAACCTGAGGGTAAAGATTGACTCCTTTGTCCATTTATGAATACTGACAAAAGGAGGATTGGAAAGACAAAGATATCTCATAAGAAAACTGTATGGTCCCCAGTAAAATAGAAATAAGATGAGAGCTGAAACCTCTGGACATTACTGTTATAAAACTATATCAAGTAAGAAAGGCAGAAAGGGTGGGAGGTTGGAAGGGGGGATGGAGAGGGAGGGAGTATTATCTGGCTTGGACTGCAACAATACAAAACTGAGGTTTCCAGTTTAATCTCATCATCAAAATTCCCTCCCTGGTGTAATAGACAGAAACAAAGAGATGGTTACTTCCAGTATGTGATTCATCCTACTCTCATCTTGGATAAGAAATGTATGTAAAAACCTGATGCTTAGGACAGGACTTTAGCACTTAATTTGAAGCAGGAGACTAGTGATCTGTGTCCTCAAACAGAAGAGTCATTCACCCACCATAGTTGTAAGGAAATGCCTTTTGCCTCCTGGCATGTGTTCACAAAGCACAGCATGGTGAGCCAGTTGAGCAATGAGATTGTCCCTCTCTTCCCTCTCTGCTCTTCACTGGTGTGGCCTCACCTTGAGCACTGTGTACAGTTTTGAGTGCCACAATTCGAGGACAAAAAACCATTAGAGAGCATCCAAAGGAGGGCTATGAAGATGGTGAAGGGTCCAGGGGGCAAGACATAAAGGAGCAGCTGAAATTGCTGGTTTTTTTGTTTGTTTGTTTTGTTTTGTTTTTGTTTTTGTTTTTGTTTTTGTTTTTTGTTTTTTTTTTTTCAGCCCAGAGAAGAGAAGACTGAGGGGAGGTCCTCATGGCGGCCTGCAGCTCCCTCACAAGGGGAGTGGAGGGGCGAGCACTGAGTTCTGCTCTCTGAGGACAGCGACAGGACCCGAGGGAACAGCGTGGATCTGAGACTGGAGAGTCAGGCTGGGTGTTACAGAAAGGTTCTTCGCCTAGAGGGTGGTTGGGCACTGGGACAGGCTCCCTGGGGCAGTGGTCACAGCACTGGGCCTGTAACTTACACAGCACTTACTTCAGTAAGTGCTCTCAGACGGAGAGTTTAACTTTTAGGTAGTCCTGTGTGGAGCTAGAAGCTAAACTCAATGATACTTGTGAGTCCTTGTGAGAATATCCAATCCAGGATATTCTGTGAATCTGTGATTAAACTCAGAGATCACACATCCCTTGGATTAACAACAATGTTAGTTCTTAAAAACAAATATTGTGTGAAGAGTTCAGGCATGAAATTCAAACCACTTATTTTTTCAAGCTTATATAATGGAACTTAGCCTTTTGCAAGGTTAGATGAAGCAGGAGTTAGAAGTATGGCAGGGTCATGGTAATGACCCAAAAGATCATTCAACTGCAGGATTGTACCCTCAGAGTAAAGGAAGAAAACAAAATTTAGTTTAATAGATACAGTATTATTAATAGTGGGGATGGTATATAGACATAGCAACGGGTAACTGAAAACAAAAACTGAATCTAAAAGATCTGTGAGCTGTGTCTTAAGAAAGGAGCCTTAGCTAAAAAAATAGTAGACTGCAGAGGACTAGGAGAAAGCATGTCGTCATTTCTGTTTCCTTCTTGCACAGTTCTTTCTGCAGCCATTGGCATGTCACTTCATTCCCAGAAGTAGCCTATGATTTGTAGTACTTCCATAATGCAATGCAAAGTCTGAGACCTGGAATCTTGTTTCAGTAATTCTGAGAACTCAGGAGTTACCTCTCAATTCTTTAACCCATTGTTCATAGCCAATAAAGTCTCCATTTTTACATCAGTTCTGAGGGTTACACTGTTTCAAAGCATTACGCTGATAATCAGTATGCATGATAACAATGGGAAATATATTTTGTCCAGATACTCATTACCAAAAATCTAAATAAAATTAATACTAACATAGCTTAGGATACAAAATAAATTTGTAATCACTGACAGGTGATACTTGAGTTATTCACTAATGGGAAAAAATTACAACACAACATATATGGCATGGAATTAAGAAAAAACCCTAAATAATGCTATCTTTGATTATTTCTCTCTTTTCTGTATGTGTGTCATAGTAAAACATGTGTTATTTACCCAATGGACCAGAGAATTTTCTCTGGAAAAGATGAGCTTGTAATGGAAATGCTGACACAACCTCAACTATAACAGCATGAACGAAGACACTTTAATAACATTTTTATTGCTGTAACATCTTTTAAAAATGAAACACCTGGGACTTGTGCTTAAAAAAATCAAAGCAAATTTGTAAGTTCTGCTCTCTTCATATGATAGGAAATTAATCCAACAAGCCAAAGACTGGGAAGTTAACTTACCCTCGGAACACTTAAAATCATTCAACTGAAAGATAATTAATAGAAATATTAATGCATTTCCCTGAAAATATATCAGCTAATATATAAACTAATATTTAGAACTCCTTATATGTTAAAGAGATGGCGGATTCCCTCTAGAACTCTGCGGATACAGAAGACACTGAAGAGATTTTGTACTATGGGTACAATTATCCTCTGAAATTACAAAACAAAAATGGTGAGAATTTTTTGAAACACTAAGCCTAACCTTCAGGGGCGTATTAGTACATGAGCTGCATCCTGAGAGTGACACGCTATTAGGAAAACTATTAAAAGAAAATCGTATCTTTGTAATAACTGTGCTGCATTGTGCGAAGAAGAGTGTTTCTAGGAATTGGTCCAAGCAGTACTTGGATCTCCTTCCAGAAAAGTTTCAACTTTCATGTTATAGGAAGAGGAAAACAAGAAAATAGAACTCAGATGTCAGGGTATCAGAAACAGGGGATTATGGGATTATTTCTTGCACACTTGCAAGAAATGCCTTGGGACTTGCACCTCTTAACAAATTATAAAAACACTGTTGTCAGGGACAAAACAAAGGAAAAGTCATGTGAAGTAGTCTTATATTCAGAAGTTCAACCAGCGTCCAAGCTCTGGTGTCCAAGCTCAAGCATAAATGTTGCCAGTGCCCTGTTTAGAGGTTCACTGAGTTTTGGACTCTAGCATTGTTACAGTTTATGGTAAACCCAGTTTGTTGTTGACAGTCTAAAAGATAAGAGGTGGTAGCAGAAAGGGACAGCAAAGTTGTTGACCCTGC